GTGGGACATGGCACGCTGCACGCAGAGGCTCCTCTCAGTGGCTCTGGTGGTCGTCGTCCTGCGGAGGGAGCAGGTTTCCCAATGTTACCTGCTCCGAGTCACAAAGCTGGAAGGGGGCGGAGCTCAGACTGGAGTTCAAGGGGGCATCTCCCTGCTCTCTCTACACCCAGCACCTTGCCCTCATGAGCTGTGTGACCTTGGGCATGTCCCTTAACCTCTCCATGATTCGGTTCCCTCCTCTCTGAAACACAAGGGCCAGACCACATATAAAAACAACGGACCCACAGTCTGCAGCCTGCTGTCCAGCACCTTCCCTTTGGCCCCCTCAGAGGCTTGCCCGATCCCTGGCCAGCCTGGAGTCTCTGCAAAATGCAAGTGATGTGGCTGACTCCCTTGTTCTATAGACAGGTCTAGATAGACTCCCTTTGCTTCTTCTCATCTAAGTGGTCTTCATTTATTTCTGCAACCCATACACAGTTCTTAGCTTGAAACCTACCCTGTAATAAGTAAGTACTCGGCAATGCCAGCTTTCGGTTCACTTGGCCAGCCTCAGTTTACCATCTGACCTTAGGAAACCGGGGAGCCACTGGGACAAAGCCCCCAGGACCTTGAAAACCCCTGGCAGAGAGAAGCAGTAACAGAGCCCTTCCTTCACTGCTGGGGCTCATTACCCTGTGGGCTGTATCACCCCGGAGGGAGGTGCCACGATCCTCCCCATCCTCCATCCTCCCGATCTGATCTGATCTGGGAGGGAAGGCAAAGTCCACGTGTTTGCAAGGAAGGGTGTGGCCTTCAGAGTGATGGCCTCAGCTGATATCTCCATGGTGATGTCACTCCCAGCCCCAGCCCGCGACCACATCCAAACAATCATTTGTTTGTGTTTTGAACAGAAACACAACATCAGAACAATCATCTTAACAGAAACGGGTTTGGGTTTAAATTTCTTTTGTTGGTTAAGTAACACATACGTTGATGGTGGAAAAATGCAGTAAAAGAGCAGAGAAAAATCGCAAGGATTCCCTCCACCCAAAGCCCACCACCGTTACCAGTTTTTTTTCCCCTCTGTAGTTTACAAGGTTGAGAGTCTACCGTACCCACAGTTTTATGATGTGCATTTTTTTAATTGAAGTATAATTAACATAACCATGTTATCTTAGTTTTAGGTGTATGTGATGGGCATTTTTCAATTGACATAAATACAGGGCTGTTTCCCCATGTTTTCATTTTTTTTTTTTTAAAGATTCTATTTATTTATTTGAGAGAGAGCACAAGCCAGGGTGGGGCGGGGAGCACAGAGCGAAAGGGAGAAGCAGACTTCCTGCTGAGCAGGGAGCCCGATGCCGGGACCCTGAGATCATGACCTGAGCCGAAGGCAGGTGCTTAACTGACTGAGCCACCCAGGTGCCCCTGTTTCCCCATGTTATTACAAATTTCTTGTAAAAAGCAATTCAGAGGCTATAAAATATTCCATCACGCCGATGTCCTGTTGGTCCTAAAAAATAAAATACAACAATAAAAAGTATACCAGGGAGGCAGCAACCTGCAGGGCAGCCAGGCCTCTCCCGTGGTTGCCCCTCCCCAGGCCTCCTCTGCCAGGCCCCCCGTGATTCCCATGAAAGCCCCACCACCACCACCCGCTTTCTGTGGGGCTGCCAGGCAGGGCCAGTGTCAGCAAGAAAATGGCCAGATCAGCGCACTTTCGGTGGAGACAAAACCCTGGGTGAGAGGTCAGCTGGGAGGGCTCTCCTCCCCTGGTTCTCACCCCCACCATCTGCCCCTCCCCAGGCCTGATGCCCTGGGGCATCATGCCCAGCTCCGCCCTCTACATCTACCATTTAGTGGCAGGAAGCAGAAAACCCCAATCCAAGCTTCCACAAGACAGAGCTCTCTTTTCTCACCTAGAAGGAGCCTGGCAGGTGAGTTTGCCCCTTTGCCCATGGAGCCCAGGGAAGGGGAAGCCAGGACCTGTGTGCACCGTTGGTCTGAATAATGCTGGGGGCTGTCAGTGAGGGAGGGGGCTTTGGGGGGATCAGGGGTGGGTGGAAGGCAGGAGGTGGGTGGCTGAACCTGGACAGGCCCAAGTGAACTCAGGTGCATCCCAGCAGGCAAGACCCTGCACCCTGGATAAATCCCCACCTCCCTTTATTTTTATTATTATTATATTTTTTAGCCCTGCCTCTCTTTAGACCTCAGTTTACCCACCTGTGGAAGGAGGGATCAGGACTGAACTGCGGGTTCCTTTCCAACAGGGAAACTTTTAGTCTATTTCCGATGGGCTTATGTCCTGGGAACTTTGGCCGTTTTCCTGGTTCCAGAAGCCTTAGGTGTCAGAGAAGGGAGAAGTGCCCCCAGGACCCAGATGCCATTCGATCTGGGTCAGAAACCCACACATTTGGGCAAATCATACTCTGCTACACCCTGTCTCCCCCAATGTGCTTACCCCCATCTTTTCTGAGCTCTCTGCCCCAGAACCTGGGTGTGCGGACCAGGTGGGGCTTTAAGGGGTCCGAAAAGTGCCCAAACCTGTCTGCAAAACTCTGTGTGTATGTATGTGTGCGTGGATACATGGGTCTGCATGCACGCGCATGGGCATCACCGTATCCTGCGTTTCTGGGAGAGCCTCCACAGCTTTCAAAGTTTCAAAGACACGTGTAACCCTAAAAGCTGAAGAACCTCCAGCCTGGGCTGGGTTCCTCCCCTTGTTTCCTCTGCTGCTCCCCTCCCCCCACAGTGTGGCAGCCCCTGAGGTCTAGCCTGGACCCCCACAGCCTTCCAGCACTCTCTCGGGGTCTCAGCTTGCCTCTGAAGCTGCTTACCCCCCAGGTGCCAGGAGAGCTTTCTGAGTTGCTTCCTTTTTTTTTTTTTTTTTTTTAAGATTTATTTATGGGGCGCCTGGGTGGCTCAGTCGGTTAAGCGGCTGCCTTCGGCTCAGGTCATGATCCCAGGGTCCTGGGATCGAGCCCCACATCAGGCCCTCTGCTCGGCAGGAGGCCTGCTTCTCCCTCTCCCTCTGCTGCTCCCCCTACTTGTGTTCTCTCTCATATAAATAAATAAAATCTTTAAAAAAAAGATTTATTTATTTATTTGGGGGGCGGAGGGGTAGAGGAAGAGAGAGTCTTAAGCAGACTCCGCACTGAGCAGGGAGCCCCATGCGGGGATCGATCCCAGGACCCTGAGACCATGACCTGAGCCAAAACCAAGATTCTGACCCTCAATCCACTGAGCCACGCAGGAGCCCCTCGGAGTTGCTTCTGATTGGCTCTCATCTGCTTTCCATCTTCAGAACCCCCTTGGCCTTTGCAGCCATCCTGGGCTCCCTTCCCACAGGGAGGGAGGGAGGGAGGACTGTGACAGAATCCAGGAGGCCAGCAACCTGAAAGAGCCCTGCCTTTCACTTTGTGCTTCCTCCCCTCCATGGTTAGAGAAGACCCTGTTCGAAATCCCCCGCTCACAGGAGGAAATTCAAAGTCCTAACACGTCCTCTGATCACCTAGCTCTTTGAAAGAAGTTCACATTTCTTTAAATTTTTTTTTTTTAGAGTAAACTCTATGAACTCAAGACCCCAAGATCAAAGAGTCGCATGCTCTACACACTGCACCCGCCAGGCGCCCCAAACTTCACGGTTGTGGAATGCTAACGTGCTACTAGGCACTGATTGTTCTTAGTGCTTCATGTAGATTAATGTACTCAACCTTGACAACAACCCTAGGAGGTAGTCTATCACGAGCTCCACTTTACAGATGGGGAAACTGAGGCCCAGAGAGGATTGCCCATCAATAGAGCTCGATTCTTACCATTGCACTGTGCCTTGTGTCTTATCTCTTAATTTCCAGAACGTCCCTCCTGGCCACATGGACACAATTTAGTTCCCAGGTTCCTGAACATAGCCTTTTCCACTTGGAAGCCCTCCCATGAGGTTGACACCTTCTCCAGACTGCTTTTCTCTGGGCCCACTCTTCACCCCCCTCTCCCCTTGGTCTCCGGGTCTGGCTCCACCCACCAGCCGGGGACCTCCGCCTCAGGGCTGGCCGGTGCCCAGCCTCCCTCATCATACCATTACCCCTTAGCTGAAGTGAACTGAAACACTACCCCCAATTTGTAGGTGGGGAAACTGAGTTCAAGAGGTTAACTCACTTCTCAAAGATTATGGGTACCAGAGCAATGGAGGGATAATGGTGGGAACTAAGCTGATTCATTCATTCTAGCGTCATTGAGTGTCTACTCTTGGCCAGGAACCGCACTGGGTGCCTTGGTGGATATGAACAAGACGGCCTGGTGCCTCCTCCTTGGTGTCATTGTCACTGCGCAGACCCCAAGCTCCCCCAACACACCCACATGTCCATATTCAAGGGAAATGGAGAAGAATTTGAACTGGGGAGGGGAGGGCCGGCAGCTGTAACTCCTGATATCACAGGAGACAGATCTTACTCAGGGGAGGAGGGTGCGATATTCATCTGGATCTTGGGTACCACTTTTTCCAAAGATGTGTTGGGAACGTGACCACCAAGACACCCCCGTGCCATTTTCCCCCACCCGCTTTGGCCTCAGGACAGTTCAGTAAGACCTGGAGTTCTCAGCTCGGCTACACCATCTCCTCCTCATCCCTTCCTGTCCGGTCCAAACGTCACCTCCTCTGTGGAGCCTTCCCGGAAACTCCAGGAGTCCCCCCCCCCCCCCCCCCCGCCCCAAGCATCCCGAGCTTCCACCTCTCCCGGGGGTCTGGGACACCCTCGTGCGCGGAGCAAGGCTGAAGGAGGCTCTTTCGGCGCCAGTAGGTGACCTGCGCGGAGGCGGGCGTGGGCGCACCCCGGACGCCCCACGACCGACGGCTGCGAGGCTGGGGAGGAGGTGAGGCCGCGTTTTCCGCCCGCCCGCCCACTTGCGGCGCGGCGCGGCTGCCCGAGAAACGCGAGGCCACGTGAGCGCGCGCCTGACCCCCGCCGCGCCAGGCCCCGCCCTCTCGCGCCCGCCCCAGCGCCGGCCCCTTTTGTTCCCTCCCGGAGCCGGGCCGCTCGCTCCGCTCCCGCTCAGCTCGGCTCGGCTCGGCTCGGCCGCGGGGCGCGCAGGCGGCGGCTGGGGCTGCTCGGTCCGCGCCTCCCGCCTTCCCGCCGCCGCCGCCGCCGCCCGGACGCGAGGCTCGGGCCCGGAGAGCGAGCGCGGAGCCCCGGCGCCGGGAGGGGCTGCGGCCGGTGGGCAGCGGCGCGCGGGGAGGGGCCGCAGCATCCTCTCCCCCCGCGGCGCCCGGGTCGGGAGCGGAGGAGGCCGGGCTCCGAGCCGCCCGCCGCGCAGCGCGCCGCCGAGGGGCGCAGGTAGGAGCCACCGGAGGGCCCCCGCGGGAGGGGGCTCGCCGGGCAACAAAGGAGCGGGGGATGCGGGAGGCGGCGGCGGCCCGGCCTGGGCTGCAGCGGGGCGGCCGCCCGCAGGCATTGTCGGGGCGTGGGGGAGGCCGGAGGGTCGGGGGCCGGTGGGTGGGCGTGAGCGGGAGCTGCGCCCGCTGCACCCCAACTTCCCCGTCGCCCGCAGGCGAGGAGGGGACGCTGCCGGCGTTGGGGGGCTTCCCGGGCTGCGGGTCCCCTCGGTGAAGGCATCGCCTGCACCCTCGCCCTCCGCATCCGCAGACCGGGGTTCGGCACATCTGCTGGGGGGGGGGGGCCGCCCGTCCCGGCTCTCAAGGGCAGCGCGGGGCGGCCGGACGCGCCGCAGGGCTCTCTGGGCTCCCCGGCGGTGGGGGGCGGGGAGGGGGGCGCAGCCTGGTGGGCGCGGCCACACAGCCCCCTGCTCCAGACCCGGGCTCTGGGAGAACATGGGGCCTCCGCCCCGCCGGCTGCCGTCGCCCGGCCGATTGCTTTTGCAAAACTTGGTTGAAGTGCATGGTGGAGGGGGTGAGGGGGAGACTGGGGCAGGGCGGCTTCCCGCAGGGGTGCCCCCCCAGGCTGGCGCTGGTAGCTGGTGAGGCAGCAGATTTTCTGCCCTCCCCATAGGGAGGGGCCTTCGCCGCCGAGATGCTTCGCCGGGCCTCCAGGGCGCGCCCGTTTGGGCCCTTCAGGCGGGGCCTGGGCGGGGCGGGTGCCCACTGAGCACTGCCACGCAGGCCCCAGCCCCCCCCCCCCCCCCCGGGAAGGATGGACAGACGGGGCATCTTGGGGAGAGTCACACACCCAGCAGCGCATCCCCAACCTTGGATACCCCGCCGCTTCCATGTGGGTGAGAAGTAGGAGTCCAATGGTGGTGGGGGGGGGGATGTATGCGTGTAAGATGCCCAAGGAGGTTAGTGGGGGTAGCACTGACCTAGGGCTGCAGGCAGAGGAGGAGGAGAGTGCAGGGACCGCCACGTGGGGCAAGACACCCCACCAGTTGTAATGTAAACAATGAGCCCTTCATTCATCCAGCTGCTGTCACCTGGTCCAGCACTGCCAGGGGCGGGCAGGTCCACAGATCGGGGCGCCTCGCAGCTCCGAAGGAGCACAGCCCAGCAGCTCTTGATGGCTCGCTTGATAAGTGCTTTGGGAGCTGGGAAAACAGAGGAGGGACCCCTGGAAGATGGGGAGGAGCGGGAAGCTTGATAGAACCCCGTGCATCAGTTTGCTTCCAGGATGCCAAAGGGGGCTTCGGGCGGGCGAAGTCGCATGGGCAAGTGCTTGGAGTCCAGAAAGGAGGCCTGGTGGCTGTTGGGTAGGAGGAGCAGCATAGGAGTTAGGTGACTGGGGTATGGACTTTAAGGCGGGGGAACTTCTGTTGAGGGAAGGGATTGTTCTGTCCCTTGTACTTTTGCAGATGGGCGCCCCCCCCCGGCACCCTCTTCCATGAGCCATGAGCCCAGGCTGCATTGGCGTCTGCAGTGCCTGGCCCAGGAGAGATGTTGGGGTACGGGCTCCGGGTCTGGTGGAGGCGGGAGAGAGATGGAGCAGAACTTCAAAGGCAGAGGACCTGGCAGAGGGAGGCTGGGCGGGGGGGGGGGGGGGGGGGGGGGGGGGGGGGCTCAGCACACACGAGTGTGCACCAGCGAGCTTCTAGGTGCGCCCCGCAGGCTGCGAAGGTGGTGTCTGGAATTCTGCCCCCGAGCTTGGAATCCCAAGTAGGGGATCCACCCACAGAGGCACCAGTCCCTTTCCAGTATCTGCTGTTTGCTGTGGCGGTTTGGATGCTGGCCCCTGACAGCCGGGATTCCAGCTCTGTTACTTACTAGCTGTGTGACCTCAGACGAGTCACTGCACCTCTCTGCCTTAGTTTCCCTATCTATTAAAAATGAGGGTGCTTATGGTGTCTGCCTTCTAGGGTCGCTGCGGGAGTTGAATGGATGGATGTGTGTGAAGTGTGTGCACGGTGACAGGGAGAGTGCCTGGTATTGGTTTTGCTGGTGCCCTGGGTCCAGCCTCCGTCCACACCCATGTGGCTCATCCCCCCCTCCCCCCCGCCAAAGCTGTCTGTCCACCGTGGGGCAGTCCTGCCTGTTATCCCACCGCTCACTGTGGTCTCCTCCCTGGGCTGCTCCCCCTGCTCTGGTCTGTGATGTGGGAGACACTTGCCTCCCCGGCCCTCCCACCCTGAAGATTGACCCTGGTCCTCTTAATGCCATCTCTCGCACCTCTACTTCCATGCCCCTGGGGGGGGTGGCATTCCTGACCCCACTGGGCCCCTGCTGTCCTCGTCTGAGCCACTGGAACAAAATAGCACAGACTGGGTGGCTTACGGCCAACAGAAATTGATTTCTCACAGTTCTAGAGGCTGGAAGTCCAAGATCAGGGCACCAGCTCGGAAGGGGGAGGCTGTCTTCCGGGTTGCAGACTTCCTATAGTCCCGCGTGGCAGAAGGGACTTGGGAGCTGTTCGGGGTCCCTTTTATGAGGGCACTAATCCCATTCAGGAGGGCTCCTCCCTCGTGATCCTATCACCTCCCAAAGCTCCCCCTGCCCAGTACCTTCGCACTGGGGATTAGGTTTCAACCTATGAATCTGGGGCGGGCGGGACACGAACATTTAGACCATAGCACCTGCCCAGTGGGTCTTGGGGAGAACGGCAGCTTTTGTGTGGGTTTTTTTAAAAAAAACAACAACACATACCCAAGCCCTTGCTCTGTGCCAGGAGCTGTTTCGAGCTCTCTAAATGCATGTATTCATTTGTGGCTATCGTCACAACGCCTACATTTGACAGATGAGGGAATCAGGGCCTAGTGAGGTTTCCCTGTTTGCCTTTCGTGCATCCCTGAAGCACCTACCGTGTGTGCCGGGGAGACAGGCTACCACGTGCATTACCACCAGGGTTTGGTTGGGGCCATGTCTTCCTCTGACACCACCCCGTTTGCCCAAAGCCAAAGTGCGCACGCTGTCTGGCTCCCCGGGGCCCAGCCAGGCTGTGCCTCGCCTTCCCAGCTCGGCTCTCCCCACCCACCCATGCTGGCCTCACCCCGATGAGCCTGAGCTTCCATAAACTGTGAGTGGTGGGGCTGGCGGGGCTCGGTGAGCAGGAAGGCGGGGAGGGCCCTGACCCGTGTCTTCGGGATTCTTTGCTTGCAGGGCACAGGAAAGCTCCTCCAATTAGGTTAAACGAGAGGGGGGTTAGGAGAGAAAGGGAGCTGGTACGGTTGCAGGCAGCGGGCTCCCCCAGGCCCCGGGGCGCTGGCAGGCAGCCCCTCCTCCGGCCTGCAGCTTTCTGGGCTTTCTGGACCGTGGTTTCATTTTTCTCCGCCTCTCCCGCTGCATCTGTCCCTGCTCCTCTCCCTGTCGGCTGGCTCTGTCTGGGCTGTCGGCGTGGCTGCCCTGAGTGCTGGCTTTAGCTTGAGGCCACAGGACCTCCTGTGGACTCCCCCCTCGGTCTCGGGGTGCCAGACTGACCGACTGGCCCAGCTTGGGTGAAGGGGCCCACCCTGTCGCTCAGCTGGTGGGGGGCGGGCCACGTGGGCTTTGGGGGGGATCCCGCCACGGGGTTGCCTACTGTAATGATGCTCGGTGTGTGCAGGGGGAGGGCTGGTGAGCAGGGCATTGCTGCCCTTGGATACTCAGGGTCTGATGGGAGAGGCAGACCCAGAGCCAGTTAACTGTGATTTCTTGGGAGTAGCTGGTGTACACCAATCTGGCCTGTCCGGCCTGGGGGGGAAGGGAGGGGAGGGGGTGGCAGAGAGTGTGAACCACAGCACCCCCCCCCACCTCCCCCAGCCCCTGCTCAGAAGCCAGTGAGGCTCCTCCCTTCAGGACCTGGAGACTGGAGGTCCGGTTGCCAGCCTGGGACCTGGGCCACCCCACTGCCCACCCTGTCCCCCCGCCCCGACTCCCTTGCAGGGCTGCCCGCAGCGGGGGGGGATGTACAGAAAGAGTAATGCAAAACTCATGTGTTCAGAAGAAATGATTCAAAATGATAATGAAACGTTTCCCTTCCGAATAGAAAGCAGAGCGTGTCAGGTGATTTTTATTAACAAGGCCTACATTCGGGGCTTCGTCCACTTAGCCCTTCTGTCTTCCCTGGGTAGCTCTCGTTGGTGCATCCCTGCAATCTGTCTTTGGCTCTGTCTGCCCAGGAAAACACCTGCTCTGTGTTCACGTCCTTCTTGGCCCTCGTGGCCTCTTGGCTGTGAGAGGGTGGAATTTCAGGCTCACATGGGGTCCCTGTTTTTCTGGCTGGGGGCTCAGCCTACAGCCCACCATTCTTCCAGGTGCACCATGAAGCTGGACAGGGCCACGAGGGAAGGAGGGTGTCTCTGGAGGTTTGGTGTCAATGGAGGTCTTGCTGCCTCATATCCTGATTCTGCTCAGGCTGTTCCCTTTCTGCTGTAGGCTGTTCCTTGCATGAATTCATTGGTTCATTGACACAGCTCACACTTCAGCTTCTTTCAGACCAGGGGCTGAGCTGGGGCACAAGGAGCTCAGGGCAGAGGAGGGAAGACCTTCACGAGGGTCTTGCTTGCTCTTTGTCTGACTCCCGAAAGGACTGGAGGTGATTTGCAAAGGTAAACGCGGTATAACGAGATGAAAAAGGCGCGCAGAGGTTGAGCAAGAAGAAAATAAAAAATCCAATGAAGCTGGAGGGAGCCTGCTGTACCTTCTCCTGGGGGTAATTTGACTCCGAGCTTTCTAGCAGCCAGATCCGAGGAAGGAGCAGGGGTTTGGAGTGGCCGTACTGTCGCCTCGCCTTGTGTGAGCCCTGCTGTGTGTACCGCTAAAGCCTAAGGGAGGGCCAGCATGGTCCTGGGTGCGGCCTCTGGTCCAGAAAGCAGAGAGGAGCAGCACCTGCCTCCTGATGCTTCGGAGCTCCTCTGGGAGGGTCCCTGCCCCCAGTTGGAGTTCATGCGCACAGCCAGCCCCCTCCCCTGGGGTCTG